CTTGGGTAATCTGTTCGGTGGTTTGTGGTGTGTATCGCTCGAAATGTCCCTTATAGGCCTACGTCTGTTCCGGTGACTTTATTTACGGCTAAAAAGCATGCTAAAAAGCCCAAGATTATAGAATTAAACTAATAAATAAAAACAAGGATAATTGTGTGTTATTGTTGAGTAAATAACAGTGTGTTATTTAGAAAAAGAATAACAAATTAGAAGGAAAAAAAGATTTTTAAGAATACAGATTTCAGTGTTTTGAGGCTCTAAGCCCCATTTCTTTTCCTCACAGACAGCAAAAAAAGTCAGACATTATACGATTTAAAACAAAAACAAATAAAGATCAAACACTGGCATGTAACTTACGTTAGAATAAATAGAATGGTTTTGAATAATATATAAGAGTAAAATCTACATCACTTTACAGCCCCGCCCACTTTTGGGGAAACCAACGCTGTCATTTCAACGGCGATCAAGTCTGAAGCCACAGAGATCTTCTGTTACTCTCCTTTCTTCTTAGAGTAACTACAGAAACACGTAACTCTGGATTTGTTTTAATGTTTGAGGTGCAAAAAATGACACAGCAGCTTTTTGGCATGTTAAAAATATTATTTTCTGCCTCGCTCATGAGAGTAACAGCTGGCGAAATTACAGCCTCACCTACTGATTTCAAATGTGTGCTCTAAAATGATATTTATAAATTACTATTATCATTACTATAAGCAAGACAATAAATGGCAAAGATATGTAGAAAATAAACATATTTAAGATACTTTCATAAGAAACGTAACGTGGGAGAAAATATATTTCTAGAAGATATGTAGAAAATAAACGTATTTGAGATACGTTCATAACGAACGTAACGTGGGAGAAAATACGTTTCTAGCTAAACGTAATTGAGAATGCAGTTTAGTTCTGTGGGAACGTAATTTTTAGGAGACAGGGTTGCTCAGTGAGCTGTGTGGGGTTTCTTAAACTTTTAAAATATGTTTTAATAGTGATAGATGTTAATGACTAACACTTTTATAATAAATACATTTGTATTTATTTTAAGATCTTTTCATACAATCACACGTATTGGGATTCATCTGGATGTGGACGTGTGGACCGGAGGGCGAGGGTGACAAGCATAAGTTGCACTTTCCTTTTTTATTTCAATTCCAACCATGGTCATGAAGAATATGTTTCTCTGTTGTCCACGTTCATAACGCATAAAGCAACAGCATCAGAGCACGGTGCAGAGTCTCTAGATGAGTTTGCAGTAGTCCGCCGTTCTTATTAAACATCCATGTTGTAGTCCACTGTATAGGAAACTGCAGTTTCCCCACAACAGCAGACGCACATGACGTCCGCTGGCGCATCATACATACGTAGATAGTGTGAGTGCAGTCGGATTCTCAAAGGACTGCAGTCTCTTCTCCTAAGTCCTTTTGAATTCTCCTATCCACTATCCCTTGACCCCATGACGTTTCACACATAGGTCAAGGAATAGTGGATAGGAATAGACGATGGAGCTGATTTTTGGACAATTTGACTGCAACCATAAAGTAAACACTAACTGGAACAGTAGAAGAAGACAGACAGGAAGTTAACACTAAAGGGAACAGCTGAACAAGACAGACAGGAAGTAAACACGAATTGGAAGACGTTATGGAATCTGGCATTGTTTAAAGACTGATACATGGAGAAAAAAAGCATATGATCACTTACTTGTTTAACTATTATCGAAACCGAACTGTAATATTTACATTCAAGTTATTTTGTCTTTTAAACAGACATGTTGTCTTTGGGATTTGTTTTCCTGAAATTAAGAAGTTTGTGGTCTGCAAAAACACAAATTAAATCATTTGAAAGACACAGTTACTGTCTGAATTCAGGCATTGTACAAACACATGCGTTTTCCTTCTTCATTGTTATTGAAACCTGTCACAGAGTTGTGAGGAACACGATTTAAACACTGTTACAAACAGCAGGATGAATGGAAGATAGACACACAGCCTGAAGCAATTTAAAAATAAATAATCCCAATAAACCAAATTTTAAATATACTTTTTTGTCTTACGTATTTTTGAAAGAAAGAGATGAAAATTAAGAACTGAAATGCTTTTGAAAAAAAACCAGCATCTTTGAATGCTGATGTTTTATCAGGGGAAAAATGCCTCCCTGCACTTGTAGTGTTAACTATGAAAGTGAAAAGGATTTTAGACCATGTTCATTGTTCACCGAATCTTCATAATGACATTCTTATTATCATATATATATATTTATTTTCCCCATAGCTGTGTTTTTAGCCTGTAGCAACACTTTGCCTTGTTAAACGTTACATATGAAACATCATAACCCTAATAAAATAATTGATTCCTTAAAAAAAACATTTGTTTACAGGTTGGCCATCCTCTACTTTAGCAAATACCTGTTCTTTCATTTAGTTATGTTCCATTCTTTGATAGCTGCGGTGAAAGGGAGTCTGTGCATGAGCAATAGAAAACTTCAGAGAGCTTTAAGATCAATAAAAGCACTCTGGAGTTACATTCCTGTAAGTCAGATATACCGCTTTAATTATTTACATATCGTTCAATACTATATTGTAGATAAACAACGGTGACCTTCGGTAATGCAGGATTCCTTTTATTTGAGTTTGTTTTTTATTTTTATAACTCAGAGTTTCACGTCACTTAAACCCTGAAATACAACAGGGTCAAACTCTTTGTTAGTTTATGATATAATGGTGGCAGCGGGCCATTGTAATGTGGCCCCTATCTGAGGCTCTTTATCCCCCCCACCCACNAGGCAAATGCATACTCTTTAAGGCAGACAGGGCAAGGAGACAAGTAGACCTGTTGATAAGCATGTAAGTGGATTTGTATTTGTGAGTTTGACAGTGATTTTTTATGAATTTGTTGTTGACAGTAGAGCTACATATTCAGCACCCTCCCACCGGCAGCCCCACCCATGGAAGTATAAAGAGAACTGGATACAGGGCCCCTTTCGTTCCTATGACAGTTGCTTAGGGCAACACGTCCTCACTCCCAGGTCGGCCTATGTTGACGTTATGTCAAGGTCCCCTGTGTCGGCTTTTTCCAACGCAAGGGGGGCGGCCCTTAGCGTACATTTTCAACTTTCCGGGATGTCCATAGGCTTCTAGCTATGACTATTATCATTATTATAAGCAAGACAATAAATGGCAAAAGATATGTAGAAAATAAACGTATTTAAGATACGTTCATAACAAACGTAACGTGGGAGAAAATACGTTTCTATCTAAACGTAATTGAGAATGCAGTTTAGTTCTGTGGGAACGTAATTTTTAGGAGACAGGGTTGGGTGGAGTGTTGCTGGTGTGGCTGTGTAGTGCAGGCCGCTCCACTGGCAGGGATTCGTTGGGTCTTATCTTGATGGGATGCTTTGACAGGTACTGCATCACATTAAAGGCCTTACCAATCTTCCCTGTCACATCCAGCAGGAGGCTCACAGATAGGGACCCCCCCCCCCCAACACTTTTCGTTTTCTCTTCTCTCACCCACGTTTTCTTACACGACATATTGAATTTTCTTCAGGTTTCAAAGACAAAATAAAGACATGCACTATAGAAGCAAGATCACTGACTCTATTGAATAAGTCAAAGACATAGATCCCAAAGCCACCTACACACTTTCTATAATGTGCTTATGTTTTCCTACAAAGACATTTCCATTGGCTCAAAGGATGTTTGATGCTTTCCTGGAATGCTTTTCACTTTAAACTTTTTAACTTTCTGTGTTGTCGGGAGCTCGATAGAAACAGAGGAGCAAAGTTGTTCCAAATAATTAGGGCATAAATTACCTCTGTCAAACACTGGTGGTTTATTACAAGTATTAGCTATCTCCTATTGACAAGGTTTGGAAAGATTTGACTCAATTTTATTCTCATTGCAGAGAATACAGTTACTGAGACAAGAAAAATGCAGTTTAGCATTCAACCAGAAATGCATCAAACAGGAGATTCCGAAAAACGTTCATCCTCCATCCCGTTCATGTGGAGAGTAGCGCGAGTGCCACCATTGGTCGTCTTTCAGTTCAAGATGAGCACTTTGTCCATCTTGATGTTGAGCATAAGGTTGTTGTGCCGTCTGCCAACTTGATATTGTTACTGTGTACAGGCTAGGGTGAAGATGGAGTAGTGAAGATGGAGTAGTGCAGAGGACTACGCACACAGCCCTGTGGCACGCCGGGGTTCAGGGTGAACGTTGAGGAGGTTTGATTGTTTAACCTACCGGAAACTGTTGGGCAGGAAGTCCAGAATCCAGTTGCAGAGGGATGTGTTGATGTTGAGCAGAGGTCACCAACTACATTTGTCCAAGGGCCAAAATTAATTCAGAGATTTTTATATATATATCAGAGGTCGCGTTAACCGAATATTTTCCATCTGACGGATTTCTTTTAACAATAACGGAAAAATCTGAAAGCAGTCCGTCATTTTGACAGATTAGAACAAACTCGGAACAGCGCGAAAGTTTCCCCGCAGTGAGGCTCCGGTGTTATGCCGTGTTATGCATGCCCTCCAAAAAGGAAATTATACAGTTTCCAAACCTAACTTTGCCGTACAAATCATTTAAATAACTGTGCGTTTTGGCTTTACGCTGTGCGCACTCCCGCGAGGTGTAGTCGGCATGCCCCCCCCCCTCGAACCCCTTGTAACTCGAGGTGACATGAATGGGGGGCAAAACGCACTAACCACTCCGCCATCAAGGCCAGCAGAATCAATGTAACACATTTCAGTTGGGTAGACAGTGAGGGGCTGGTGGTCTGCCTTTATAGGCGCCGTGAGTTTACAGCAGATTCTCAGCAGAAGGAGCTGAGTTGTTCCTGGCGTTCAGGAAACGCGCTTTCATATATGTGAAGGTACCAACATATGAATGCAGAAGGCAGCAGAACTAAAGCTATTTTATTTTTAAATGTAAATCCTAAAAACTGGTGGAATACCACAGTTTACTGATGGGAATTCGAAATTGAATTAATTACTTTACAAAACACAAGGATTTGAACCTTTGTAGACAAAAGCACAACAACCTATATAACACACTACAGGAAAGGTAACCCCAAAAGCATAATAGGGCCTCTAAAATCCTCTAAGATAAGCTGTGCTCAATACTTTTCTTTCACAACATTGCCTTTAGCTATCTCAGCAGATGTATTGTATCTCCTTCTCCTATGCATATGATAGTTTGCTGTAATCATGACCATGTTGTTTCCCGATGTTTAGGTGGAATCCACCCAGAGTATGATCAGGATCCTGGGACTCTCAGCCACGCTGCCCAACTACCTGGACGTGGCCTCCTTCCTGCACGTCAACCCCTACATCGGCCTGTTTTTCTTCGACAGTCGCTTCAGACCCGTGCCCCTCGGACAGACCTTTGTTGGCGTCAAAGCCACAAACAAGGTAAACAAACAAAGATGATGAAGTATTTACAAACCTCTATGACCCTGTAAATGTATCCTTTCTTAATATCAATTTTATGAACTATTTCAAGAAGAACGACTGCTACACCCCACAAGTTCTTCATATTATATTTGTGTTTAAGCTGTATGTATCTGCAATTCATTCGTCTCAGTTAAGTAATAAAAACATGTGTTGTAATTCTGTGTCCTGTTTAGATCCAGCAGCTTCATGACATGGAAGAGATTTGTTACAACAAAGTTCTGGAGCAGGTTAAAGATGGTCATCAGGTAAGGGCTCTTTTACATATTTAGAACCTTATAGAAAACATGTGACATAAGGAGGAGTACATAATATTTGTATTCATACAACTGAAATACACATACGAAAATATTCATACCCTTCAAAAAGTGAAAAGGCAAGCTTCTTCTGACCGAAAAGAACGAGATGAAGTCTAAGCATATCACACCAACACTTTTACATGGATCGTGTTCTTTTTAATGTTAACACTCAAAATGAACTTAATACTTCAGGTATTCTACTTCGCTTGACTTTTTAACGAGGTCGCTTAAATCTACTGCATTTCTGTCATACGTCTTCATGATTTTCCTAGTGAAATGTTTGGACTAGAAGAACCTAAAGAGGAACACAGTAAAAATAAGGTAGGGAAACTTTATATATATATACTGTATTATTTAAAAGTGCTTCCTATACACACATAAGAAAAATTGAAATTAATAAATTAGAAACAAATAACATATCAAAATAGACTGACCCAACTAAAATGAACCAAAACACAGCACAGGGACTGAGATCTATAAAAAGAAAGAAAAAAGGCACTTAAAACTGTCCAAAGATTCAACAAGTCTGTTGATTATAAGACGATTGGCTCTAAAATTACAAAGGTGGAATCGCAGATGGAGAGGGAAATGGATAGATTTAGTGATTGAATTGGTCGAATGGAAGAAGAATCAGGAACAAATACATATGTATCTGACTTATATACAGGGCAAGGGTCATGCAGTGTTTATATGTGATTAACAGTATCTTGTAATTTATTTTACAGGAAGGAATGTGGGGAAAAAATATGGTCAATGTAGTTTTTCACGTACAGGACCTCCAGCAGCAGAGTTAACAGTTAACCGAATATTTTCCTGTCTGAGAGATTTATTTTAACAATGACGGAAAAATCTAAAAGCAGTCGGTCATTTTGACAGATTAGAACAAACTTGGAACACCGGCAAAGTTTCCCCGCAGTGAGGCTCCTGTTAGCCGTGTTATGCATGCCTGCCAAGAAAATGAAATGATACCGTTTTCCAAATCGTACTTTGCCGTACAAATCATTGAAGTGTCTGGGAGTTTTTAGTTTACGCTGTACGCGCTCCCGCGAGGTGCAGTGGGCATGCATAACACGGCGCTAACAGTTCACGAGTGTGCGTCCACCCCCCCCTCGTCAGAGTTGTGTAAAGGCCGACGGGTAATAATGGACTTTGACGGAAATTTTAGGATCCTGTCCGTCAACATGACGGGCAGCGAAAAAGCGCAACCCCTGTCCTGCAGTATATATTTTCCCAAACCCTTTGGATTGAACACCTGCTATCTGAAGTCTCTGACGACCTTATCTCCCTCAGTGTTACCCTCCCCCTTCCTTCTCCCATCCACCACCCTCCGCTCATTCTGCTTCCACTCTGCAGCCTCAGAAAGTCTGCTGGGAGGCATGAGAGTTGTGAATTCAGACTTTACCGTTTAGCTCCCATCTGCTGCAGGAGTTGAACCCCCGTTTGAGCACTGGTGTTATCCCGTCTGCCTCATTTTATTGCAAGTGTTCACACACGCTTACACACACCCTTTTTCTAGCATTTGTCCTTCTCTCTTGCCCATTATATCCCTCAGAGACACACTTCAAACTTGTAAACTAACCTAATTCTACTTTACCACTAAAAACTTTTTGTATCCCCCTCTTGACACTCTTCAATGGTCCAGTCCGCCCTGTGGGTTTGAGGCCGCTGAGGCCACAGATCATCTCGGGGGGGGGGTGGGGGGCCTCCCTATCGCTCATTATTAAATTGTCAAGAAGTGGCTTTGACATAATTCATCTGGGAGGATCTGATGGATGACATTTCCTTTATGATTTTCCCAGCACCCTCCTGGTGGGAAGCATGCTGCCAGAAAGAAGTTTAATAAGCAGAGAAGCGGCGGTTACTGCCGACAATGCTTCCACAGCGCTCAGTGGTGCTGATAAAACACCTTCAATAAATAACGCTTGCTGCAGTGGTGACTTCGGGCCTACTGTGTTTGTAGCATACACACAGCCGGTAGCTTGAGGTGTGTGCAGTCATGCAATGTGCTTTGGTCTAATAAAAGATGTCCATACTAAGAAACAGAAAGACATCAAAACAATATCCGCAGGGTCTTTCATGGCTTTTTACAGGTAATTGTAACACTTATTTAGTGCTCTATTATCGTTTGAATATGCAATCCTTATCTCAATTTTCATTTAGAACACCTTCTGTTCTATTTTATATTACCATGTGCCCCTGAAATTGTTAAAAGTATAGCAAATGGGAGGGTCTTTAATTTCAATTATTCAATAATAATCAGTTATTTTCTTATTTGTTTTGAAAGAGCAATGGTCAACTCTCTATTGACCAAAGCTGCCGTCCCATGATATGCAATTTGCTCTTTGCACATTGCAAGGTAAGGTGCAAAGCCTCGCAATGGAAACAGCTAGTTTGTTTATGGTTACCTCCCCTGCTTATTGTTAAGCTGTCATCTGATTGCTTTTGTGTTTCAAGGTCAATCAACTTATCAGTAGCATTCCACGATCTGGAAGTTAGCATTGCAAGAACAACAAAGAGCAATGGCATTTTTCCGTTTGATTTTGGATTTTTGTATAAAATAATATCAGTTGCAAACGTTGACAGGTGTTGTTCAGCAAGATAATATCCAGATAATAACACCACATATATAATTGTTGGTGTGTAAATGCAATCGCCACAAGTAAATAGCTAACAATGTAAAGGAACTACATCACAGACGTATGGCTTCATGTCACCACCGCTAAGCTAAAGGCGGCTAATGTTCGGCATGATGGCGTTCAGTGATTTTAATTAGTCACTTGTTAGCAACTGCCGTTTTTAAGACACAAGCTACAGAAATTCTCCAGTGGGGTATTTAATAACCTGTTTTATGTAGACAAATGTCAACATCTATTAAGCTTGGGGTAAGTCATCATAAATCATTGACTTTGGGACGAGGGAACTGGAAGTGGTAAAATGCCGACTCATAAGGTTTTAGCACTCATTCCTGCACCACTATGACGGAAGCTTAAGGGAGTCTACAATTGTCTTACATTTGATCCATTAAATGTTGAACTTGTTGACTTGAAATTCCAATTTTACAGATTGGACAAACTGCATAACCAGCTGACCTTCTGTGTGATTATGTGTCAATGTTGTGTTCCTCCTTATCTTCTGTCTTTGTATGCCTTAGGTGATGGTGTTTGTCCACGCCCGTAATGCCACTGTGAGGACGGCAATGGGTCTGATCGAGATGGCCAAGAACCATGGAGAGATAGGCTTCTTCCAACCAAACCAGGGGGCAGACTACGGCCACTGTGAGAAACAGGTACAATGTCCTTTTAAAAGCATCATCTCAAATCTTTGATACACAAATGTGTGCATCTGCATTAGCAAAGCGCCTTGACAGTACTGACCTGATGATGTCATGCTCTATTAACTTTGTTCCACCATCTAGTTTTACATAACCGTCCTCTGATGACGTATAAACTCCAAAAACAGGCAAAACTTGTAGCCAGTGAGTAACTCAACCACATGTCTTGAATAAACCCTAACTCGTTCTCACAGATTTCTCGGCGTGGCTCCCGAGTTCAGGCGCATTTATGGCTAACTATTGTGTCGTAGGTTAGCGTGCCATCTACAGCAGTTTGACAGTTAGCTCCAACATTATATAAGTCAACAAGCTCTCATCTCAGATGTTTAGGGTCCGAGCAACGACAAAGTCGGAGCAGATGACCTGAGTTTGCAAAAGTTTGCAAATGTGAAAACCGATTTTTGGTAAGGGGGTTGGGTTGGGTTGGGCAAATTCAGAATGGAATGCCCACACTGTGAAATGATTGTGGTATACTCTTATGAACGGCAGCAGATCACTCGGCAGAGAGTTCCTGTTTTATAGATAATGTTTTGCCCCGGTCCCTACTCTTTAGCTCCACTCCCCTCTCACAGAACTCATGCACTGATTGTCACAGACACTTGTGGGAGGTATCATTTCACTCGTAAGAGCATGGGTATGGACAGGTAGAGAGCAGCCCACCAGAGCATGGGAGTGCAGGAGCCCGTTCAAAGCTTTAATTTGAGGAAATGCCGGTAGATTTTGCTGTGCTGTTTTTTTTTTTATTTATGTCCCACATAAGACATACAGTATAACTAGAAACAGAGGAAAAGTCACAGATAAAGATTGTCTGGGACAAAATGCTCCACATTTTTACACGACTGCACACTTACACAGTACACATAACACCAGTTATGCCAAAGAGAACAAGTTTGATACAAGAAAAGAGAACGCAGCTCATCATTACTGTCAACACAGTTTTGGTGCTACATTACATGTGTGGGCAGGCATGAGAGCAGGACCCTGTGTGTGTGTGTGTGTGTGTGTGTGTGTGTGTGTGTGTGTGTGTGTGTGTGTGTGTGTGTGTGTGTGTGTGTGTGTGTGTGTGTGTGTGTGTGTGTGTGTGTGTGTGTAATGAATGGTTTCTCTGCTGTGAGAGTACACAGAGGTGGAGCTACATTCTCCCTCAGAGGATGGCCAGTCAAGGCTCCGACTCGCGTATTTAAATCTCCTGCAACAGAAGGCAGAGTGATACATTTAGTAACCTTTTCCTTCATTCCCTGGGGCTGAGCCCAGATTGATGCGCCTGTAATCTCTCCTCTATTTAAATGGGATATGTATACAAATCAGATCACTTTTCATGCTTTCTAAAACTGGAAATGGAGGCTTTGTGGCCTGGTTAGTCTTTGAAACAGTACGTTAAAAGCATTTGTGCAAGTGTTCCCGCAGTATAATTACATGAATGAAGCGTGTTGTGTTTGCACTAACTGTACGTTAATTCACTCCTGGCCCTTCTGCCTGTTTCCCAACATAATGAGAATTATCCACTCCATTAGTCCATCTGAGTGTTTGTCAGTCGGGCCTGCTCTGAAGGAAGAGGCTCAGGTTGATTCCACTCTAAGCCCACACAGAGATAATGCACTGCTTATTTGCACTCTGGAAATGGCCCCACATTAATATTTATAGGTGTTTTTTAATCTCCAATATGCATATGCAGTGAAATAAAGCACCTCTAAGGTCAGCCATATAATTTAGCGTTTATTTATCCAGCTTTGAAAGTCAGAAGTGATTCCACCATATTTTTCTCTCCTAATGTTATTTAATTGGCTTAGTCCCCGGGGCTTGGAGAGGCTGTCAATCAAGCTTAGATATCTTAATGCACACACTCCAATCAATTCTTGTTAAATACAGGTTGTGGTGAGCGATGATAAAGTGCTGTTGATGTTGAACACTTTCCATGAGAGCATTTCAAACAGCAGCCCCGCACTCCTGCCTTTTGATGGAAGAGAAAGTATTCAGACCCTTTACTAAAGCACAAATACTACACTATAAAAATTCTCTATTACAAGTAAAAATCCTGCTTCTATAATGCTACTTACTCAACGTATGATCACGAAAATGTACTTGAGGTATTAAGAGTAAAAGTATTCCTTAAAGAAAAGCAAATATTCACGTTTGATAAAAATGAGTTCCAACAATTAGCAAAATTGCTGCCAATTCTCTCATTGTCTTAGGTACTAAAATATAATGTTGGCTATTTTAGCATAAATCAAAACATATTATTTAACAGTTCCTCATATTGTTTCTGTGTTAACGTCTTCATTTATAAGGTAACTAAAGATGTAAAATAACTGTAGTAAAGTCAAATGTGCATTTTATCCCTTGTATATGTAGAAAGCTCTGTCGATGACAGTGCCACTTTTGCTTGGGTTATAACAGCTTTCATATCAAATAAACATCAGAATATACTGCCTAAAGTATTGATAGTGAGCACATGGCCTTATTTAAGTTGACTGTGTGGGACAGAACTGCCACTGTTTGTTCAAACCCACAGTTACTCAGGAAAGGTGTCTTATCAATGACAATGATAACTTGTCATAACTTTTGTATTATCATTCTCCATTATCAAGAGGCCCTGCTCAGTGAAGGTTGCTCTATGCAGTGCATTCCTCGCTGAAAGCATATGCAAGTGTGTTCGGTAACATAATGCCCCCCAGATGTTGATTTTGAAAACATAATAAGGAAATGATGTTCGAATGTAGATAGATGTAAAAGGACATGTATAGTAATTGTATTTATTACAATTACTATAAATATACACTGCTTATCTCGGGGAGCCAATAGTCTTAGCTAGGGCTGCACGATTTGGGGAAATAATCTAATTGCGACAGATATTGCGATTCGATTTGCGATATTTGTTTTTAAGCAACCCAACGGAAGTTTATTGTAAAATGCGGCCATATCTCCGGCTAGGAAGGTCGTATCAACGTGCTCCCGTCTCTAGTACCCCCGCAGCCCGAGCTACGAGTGAAAGAACTAAACTTACATGAAACTTCCGTTGGGTTGCTTTAAAATCAAGCTTCAGTTTCAGATTCACCCTGTAATAGATGTAAAACATGTGATGGAGCATTATTAACCCGACTCAGATGGTTTGTTTCACCAAACCATCTAGGAAAGCTCCATTGGAAGCCATTTGGAAACTATTTCAAAAATACTTGGCAGGTGATTGGATCAATCTGTCTATCACCTACTCTCATGGGCCACTTCTGATTGGTTAACAATGACTGGTACATGTGGAGCACAGCACTTCTGATTGGTGTGGATGACTGACACACAAGAAGAACAAAAACAAATTAGACATTTTAAAAAATCACAGGCTTTGCGATTTGATAATTGCATCATTTAAAATCGCGATTTTGATTTAAAATCGATTAATCGTTCAGCCCTATTCTTAGTTTTGAATTGCACGATTACATTTTGATTATGTGCCTCATGCTTGACTTTCATGTTTAAGAAGGCACATTTTTTATTATAAAAAGAAAGATCCTAAAAAAAGTAACCCTAGCAAATACGGCAGCCAACTACTATTTTTATTATAGATTCCAAATATGTTCACAATTAACTGTTTGCTCAATAAAACCAAATGACCCAAAGGTATTCAGTTTACTATGACCTACTATTACAAAGACACATAAATGAGGAAATCCTGAGTAGTGAAAAGTTGGAACTATGTACCGGACTGTGTAATCAGCATGCCATTGGACATGTGGTTCTCCTGGCTTACTCCTCCCCTTCTGCTATCTTAGTGTGACCGTTTACAAAACTGCTTACTATACTCAGCACCGATTAAGATTGTTTAAAGACAGAGAAACATCCACAGAGTTTTCTCCTCTGTAGCCAGCAGAATGGTAATGTGTGCATCCAGCCCTTCACCAGCGCTGACTCAGCACTGTGCAGAACGCTCCGGATATGGGAGACTAGTCAACTGGTGACTAGTGACATCAACACCTAATTGAATTCAGTTGGCAATGGATTTTCTGTCCGATCAGTCAATGTGTTTCATGTCTTCTGGCAAATAATTCAGCCAATCACGGATTGTTGTGATGGTTTTATTGATATTCACTGTGAAATAAAGAAGAGAATATTTTTATGTGGTTTGTTTTGTACCAAAATTAGGAATAAGACAAGAAGTATTGTTCAATTACTGTGTTAATAATATTTTTTGCTGAACAAGATTCAGTGGACAAAATGTGTCATGTGTAAGATAGCATTGAATTGATCCTACTAACAAGTTTGTCTCTATTATCAAAGCTTGATAGATTATTTTAATTATTATTATGTTATTCTTCCATGCTGTTGTCTAAAAGGCAGGGCTGCGCATTGGAAGAAGAAATAGAATATTGATATCACCTGGATATATGGATCTATCTTTTTTTTTATCTCATTTTACAGTAAATAATAAAGTAATGTAGCAGAAAGGTGTGTATACAGTTTGGCTGATGGTTCATTTTAGGTCAGAAATGTACCTTTTTTAAGCATCACAGAGGTATTATAAACAGCTATAGCTATTTATCAGAATACAGATAGAATTGCTGCCAAAATGTTTATCCCCTCTTAATTTAAAGAAGTAGCAAAATAAGTGTGAGGGTGGAAAGCATATGATATTACCCTCATCTTTGTGTAGGGAACCTGTGTCAAAACTCTCCCCAGAGACATTTGTAGTGTCCGAGTGGCCGTTTGACTTTCATTTGCTCTGACAATGCAGCCTCTGCCATCCTCTCCCTTTTGTCCCCCCTCTCGCTCCTTTTTTAATATCAGTTCTGGGAGATGAGCCCATGTGACTGGTTCCTGAGGAGAGAAGACTCTGCTGTGGAGGTTAAGAGACACCTTGTGGTCCCATGAGTCCATTACACAGGACATAACAGAGCTCTCAGAGGTTATTGAGGACTGTCAAGTTAGGCATGGACTTACAGTTTTAATGGTGGGCGTCATGCCAT